AAGAGATGTGAGAGATTGAGATGATGATGACGGTGAGTTTGATATGCATGCGCTATGATGCGTATGCCTGAGTGTGTGTGTGTGTTTGTTTGCACGACCTGCACTTGTTGTAGATTACACACAGAGATTTCATAAATCCAAAAAATGTAGTTGATAATAGTCTTATGTATTTGTTGTTGTTGGGGCAATCATACACATATGTTTGTTGATGATGTCCCCAATGCTGTTGTTCATCTTCTTCTTCCCGTGCCAGTTGTTGCTGCAGCCGTCGTCGTCGTTGTTGTTGTTTATAAACATTTCTTTTTTGATTGGATTTAATTTAATTTCGGCTTTTTTCCCTACACTTCAAGAACAAACAACTCTCACATAACATAACTGTGAGAGAGGAAGAGCAATCGTGAAAATGGTAGAGAAACACAAAACAACACATGCGAGACAAATTGAGTTATTAGGTGGGTATTATTCAGAGACATTATCATAAGTAGCAGGGAGTAATTGAGGCATAATGAGTTGTTAATATTTATTTCTATGTTGGCAGGTGATAGAATTTCAATAGATTTTGAAGTTTTATCACTGATTTTAAACTATAATATAAATTTAATTCAGATGGGATCGACTCTATGGAAATCAATGCCCTTGTTCGTATTTGAAAAGGTTATTTTCAATACAAATTCATATAAAAATAGTGTTTTTGGTGTACCTTAAATGCGAAATCGAATGAAACATTATGTATATGAATCGAATTAAAGAGTAGTCCTTTAGACCTAAACTCGTCACATTATCGATAAATATTGCTTCTTTTTTGCAGATCAAATGTAATAGGAATACTTGTACCAACTGAGTACCAATACGCTACGACACAAGATAAACACCAAATTACACTGACTTTTTTGTCAAATTAGGTCTTGAATGTTGTTTTCAATTTTTGTTTCAATTTTCAATTTTTTTAAATATTTAATCAAATGGCGACCAACCTGAAAAAAAGGTTTTTCGTTTACAGACTAAATTTAAGGAATCAATCAATATTTAGTATATTTATCAAAATGACGATTATATATTAATACTGAATCATCTCAGGCAATTTTCAAGCAAATGGCGCCCAACGTGAGAGAAGATTTTTCGTGTACACCCTAAATTAAAAGAAACAATATTTCGGGTTAATCATCTTATCAAAATACGATCATATATTAAAACAGAATCATCTCAGGCCATATTAAATCAAATGGCGCCCAACGTGAAAAAGGATCGTTACATCCGAAGTTGTTTCTAACTACGACACAAGATAAAAACACATAATTTCATAGATACCTTGTAAGTTTACGTCTTAAATAATAAGAAATCATATTTCCAATTTTCAGGATAGTGTATTCTCAGGCCCAATTTAATGGAATGAGAAAAGTTTAGTAGTAACAATTAAAGTTTACGACTTGAATGGTAAGAAACTATATTTACGAATGTCGGGAGAGTTTATAAATTAGAATATGCTTACATATTTAAACAAGAAAAATAAATCTGGCACTGATTAATTAAATGGCGCCCAACATGAGTAAATATGCTTATTAAAATTCATGGATAAATCCATAACTTTTCGAGAATCTTTCAAAATATTATTATAGCTTGCGTCAGGAAGGTGACTGCATATATATTCAAAAGGTATAGCGAAATTTGTACAGTATTGGATCTACAAACATATCAATTTTTTCAATTCAATTTTGAAATTCATCCTTTATAGGATCTCATAGGGAATTATCATTTTTGAAAATAGCGCTTTAATCTGATATAAAACGGCCACAGCTTCGATCCATTAACTCTATCTAAATTACACTGTGTTCTATTACTGAATTGTCCATGTTCCAAGATAAACTGCTCTCTATTTGATTGCTTGCCGATTCAGCATGGCGAAGATAGGTTAACACATATCTGTATTCGGCTGAAATACCGAGAAATTATCAGATTTAAAAAAAGTCTGTTTAATATTGAAATATCACAAAACTGTACTTTAAAATTTATTGACGAAAGAGAGCATTTTCACATGACACCACAAGTGGGTAAAACTTTCACTTTAAATGTTTTTGAAAAAAAAAAAAACAACAGTAGCATCCCTCCAGAATTTTACTTTATGAACTGAAACACCGCAAAATACATACAACATTGGAAGCGGCAACAACAACTCTACAAAATAACAACAAAATATTGTGGTCATCACAACAATGATCACAATCAAAACGTCATATTTTTTTTGCTTCAAGTGGTAGCTAGGTAGGTACATCATAAGCATCGTCACATCATCATCATCAGTAGCCGCATCATTTCAATTCATCCATATTCATCATCACTATTTCGTGTTTGTATTTACAGTCGATTCCGAATAAGTGAAATGAGATCAAATTCGGAAGACTTTGGAAATATGCCAGTAATATCTTGCCAAATTTAGTTCACATATGAAATGGGGGATGTCCGGACATAATCCCCATTGTAATTATGGTAATTATGTCCGAATTTTTTTGTCATAACCCCCATTGTAATGTGGGGATTATGTCCACTTCAAAACGAAAGACAAAGTTATAAAGTTTGGAAATACTACGGATCACGTGGCCGTTGTTGGATATACCCCAGAGGAGGAAAATCTGAAGCCCCGGCCGAAATTAGGCTACTTAAATAATTAGATAAATATTAGTGGGGGAAATTATGATTTTTATCACTAATATCTTCAAAACTACAAGAGATATCAGCACAATTTTAGAAAGCCATGTAACGCAGTTTGTAGATCTTAATACCCCATAATGTGTTTATTTTCGAGGGGCTTTTCAAAAAGTTCCGGTACAAAAATACCTATTTTCTTATATAACTGCGAATCGGTTTTCATTGTTTTGTCATTGTTTTGAAAACAAATAAAAAAAAAACAAAATATTTTCAAAATCAATGTTTGGAAGAAACCCGAAGGACAAGCGTTGAAGGTAATTACCATTTTTGCCATGGAATGAGAGATTAAAAATTTTTGATCATATTTTTAAATATTTTAGGCATTTCATTAATCCCTCGTGCTATTTAACACATTTTAAAAATTAGGAAAAATATGAAATAAATGAAAGCAACTTGTTGCATATAATTTATAATAATTCTGACAGGAAGTATTTTTAAAGTTTTATGAAGCTGTTCTACCTCCTTATTGCACCATGGGTATTTCCATATGCTTTCAAATGATACCCATTTTGTACGTTTTGGAGAAACGGATAAAACCAGGATTTTGCATGCAAACTTCGGGGTTCGAATAGCCGGGTAATCAAGTATTTCCCTTAAGAATAATTAACTTCGTCGTAATCAGATTAAAAATAATTACCTCAAAATGGGTTTTATTATTGTGATTATAACCGATTTTTCCCAAACAGTCACAGCTCCCAAAATTACAATGGGAATTATGTCTGTTGGGGTATACATAACCGAAGGTATAAAAAACCAATCACATTACGAAAAATCATATCTGTTGCATTCAGCGAGAATTTGAATAACTTTAACAGGTTCTAGCTGATACACATGATAAAAACACGTGAATTGTAAGTATTCGTCTTATATTTTACGGAATAGTATTTAAAATTTTCGCCATGATTTGTTATTAATTTGCTTGTACGAACGAAATGGGATGTGTATAGCTATTTACTTCTTTTTCGAAAATTCCCCAGAAAATACTTATATAAACTTGCACCATCTCAGGTATGACTTAACCAAATGGCGCCCAACGTGAATGCATAATATTCCATTTTTACAAATTTCATGCTTTATTCTTTTACTTGAAGATAATGCGTTCAAATTGGACAATCTATGGCGGTACCTGTCCTATGTATGCAAAAAATTTCAAATTTGATCCTCTTTTATATGCACCCTCCCATAAAGGAATTCCTCTCGGTTTCCTATATTTTTTGAGGTGTTAGTCACAAATTCCATCGAAATTTTGTGGTATTGTAATTGTCCGCCGGGGAAAGTATGCCCAATTGAGATGAATTTGGTTTCGAAATTAAAGTAAAGATTTGACTTTGATTTTTATTGGCATAAATGTGAGCGTTTTAACTGACAAAATCGTTATCATAGCTCCCAAGATAATAATAGGCTTATGGCCACGTTCTGATTGGTCACAATATTGCCATATTTCTCTTCTCACCCTACACAAACCTTTCCAGATATCCAAATTAATTATTTTCTATTCTTACTGTTTTGTTTTTTTTTTTACATCCTGACGATGGTATATCCAATATTTGAACTCAAAGCAATGTTTAACATCGATCCGAATCGAGATATTAGGCTAAATTTTCAATTCCCGTAATGCGGAATGGACTGTAGTGAGAATTAAGAGATGCTACACTTTCATAATTGGCTGTCATGTTGTGTTAACGATCAGAATGAATATATGAACAGTAGAGACCGACCGACTGACTGATCAAGCGGCCGAATGATATATGCCACAAACATTCAAACATACACACTCACACATGCACACACACACTCCGTAGCAATGACAAAAATTAAATCACAGTAATGAAATATGATTGTTGTTGCTGTTTGTTTTTTGGAGCACAGATTTGTTTGTCAAATATTGCTCTTAATTTTTGGATTTTGAAAATAATTCTCAAATTTCGACAGCTTTTTTTTAATCCTCTGTTTGTTTGCTTCTTTGCATTATCACTGTTTCTGTTCGAATTGTTTCCAATTGGCGTTGGCCATCAAGTTGCCGACTTGTTGCTGCAACAGTGGCAGCCCTCGTCGGCAGTCGCACAAAAAAAAACGTTTCGTTTTGAATTAACTTAATTATTTTTTGTAAGATTCTTTCGAAATTCTTTTCACTTGATTGTTTGTCTGCTGCTGGCTCACTCGCTTGCTCGTGTATTTTTTGTTGTTTTTATTCTTATTTTTTTTTTATTTTCTTTCAAGCGACTATAGGCTAAATGTGTTTGTTTTTTATTGTCGTTGATGTTGTTGGGAATTTGTTTAAAAAAAGAAACACTTACGTTGTTTGACAATTGATTTTTTTTATTTAAAAATGGAAACAATTTAAATATACATGGTTTATTCTTCTTGGTTTTCTGCTGTTTCTCGCCAATTTTAAAATCGTTTTATTTGCAGTTTTCAAAATTTATTTTCACTTAGTTTGTTTTTTTTTTTTATAACGAATTCTTAATTTGTGTTATGTTGCACATAACTTTTGTTTCGTTCTAATTTCTAGAATTTACTTAAATTTGGTTTTAAATACATTTAGAGTAACATTCATATATTTGTATTAATATATTTTATGTTTGTTTGTTTTCTTTTTCTCTTGATTCTATTTTGTATATATCTAATTTATTCTATATCTATTTAGTTTAAAATTTTGTATTATTTATTATGCATTTGATTTTTTTTTTAATTTTAAGGTTTGAACGCGATCGCGCGTTACTTAAGTTCGATATTGTGTTAATGTGTCGAGTTTGAGTTTGTGACTGAAATGTGTTGAAACGATCTCCATTCGTTTTACTAGAAATTTTCGGATGTTCGATGTTACTTTGCGTATCAAACGTCAGCAGACATGTTGGTGGTGAAGCAACGAACCAATGGACGATCAAGAAACCTATAAGAAAAATGTTCATACGTGAGTATTTGAATGAAAAATAAAAATTATCTTAACGTTAAATTTAATTTTTTAAATTTTAATTTGTTATTAATTTATCTCTTCTTATTTTTACATTTATTAATGAATTAATGTTTTTGCTTCATTTATATTATCAGTAGTATTTATTGTGTTCCACCTTTGAAATCAAACACAAACATAAAATCATGTTCTAACACACATACAACACAAACTGATCTATCATACCACAACACAACAAGCAACATGACTGTTCTACCATAACCTAGTAAAGACCTTAAGGCTGATGTACACTATTTGATTCACTTTCATCCGGTACTCTGAATGTTGTGCGTCAAATTTTAAAGCGATTTTCTACTACATTTCAATTGCAACTGTAATGAATTTAGCAAAACTACATTCGAAAAGGTTCTCAAGGAAATAATACTTATTTTGGCATATTTTTCTGTTTGGTGAATTTTTCCAACGGACACCGCATACTTGTGTGTTTTTGAATGGATTTAGATATTGTCATGACTTTTATACCCTCCAACTTGAAAAGGAGGGTATATTAACTTATTCTTTGCGTTTGTAACACCCCTTAATATTCGTCGTAGACCCCATAATGTATTTATATTCATGAACTGCATAAAATTCTATCCGTCTGTCTGTTGAAATCACGATACAGCCCACATTGTTTTACGCAGAGCTTCAAAAATTTGGCAGAACATTTTGTATTGTGTCTAGGATTGTTGGTATGGAAAATGAGATATATCGGTTCACGTTTTGGTATAGGCGACATATAACGGCTCCTCCCGATATACGGTGGTACCTTCATGATTTTTGCCATATTTTTCCACGAATTTGTTTAAAAATTGGTAATTGTAGGTCATAATGGGTTTTAGCTCCGGTGGCCATATAATATTGTATGTATAGGACCACGTTTTTGTATAGCCCCATATAACGGTATCCCCGATATTCGATATTTTAATGATTTTCACCAAGTTTTTCCATGAATTTTTCTAGAAATTGGTAATTGTAGTTCATAATGTGTTCTAGCTCCTGTGGCGAAACGTTGTATGTATAGGTCCACGTTACCCACCGATATTCGGCCGAAAGTCGCATGTTCTCTCAATTTTGTTACTATCTGATTACATTGTTTTTCAATACTTCTGATTATAAGTTTCGAAAGAGAACTGTGCGCATTGAAGGCACGTTTTCCTGCTTTTGTCTGGTCCTGTTTTAAATACTCAGCGATTTTAGATCCCACATTTTCTAGAACGAAATCTATTTCAGATCGTTTGGAGTAGATATCGTCATGTTCGCTCATCCGCTTTTTTGTCTATCTAATAAAATATTTCAAATCAGTCCCTGGTTTTCTTAAAACTTTGTGTTTTCAAATGCTCTGGAGTGCATCTGTCTACTTGTTCCTTCTCCATAAATAATCGGTGCTACCTGATTTTTACAAACCTCAAAAATCCTTTTTATTTGAAGGCATGTGAGAAAAATCTCTTATTTTAAAACCCTTATTTTCATAAGATGATAATATTTTTGATTATTAGACTTGTGTATTCCGATCTCGGTCTCCGATTTGGTCCAATATTTGTCCTCTTAATATGTATGCCTAACTTTTTAAATTATGTCGACGGACTTTCTGTTCAAAATAGCATTTTATATAAATGAGGAAAAAAGTAGATTTTTTTAAACAAAAATCGTGATTGTTTTTCAAACATTTTTTAAATACCAAATTAAAATCTTCAGTTTTTTAAAACAAGTTTTTCAAATTTCCTTGTCAAAATTGTGAAAATTCTATCAAAAGAACACGACTTTTTATGTATGGTACTTTGAAGGACTTCCCAGAAAAAGTCGAGTCGAGTAAAGGATTTTTTTAAGGGAATTCGAGTTCAAAATGTTGAAAAAAAATTGTTAAAAACCTATTGAAATTAATTTATAGGATTTTACGTATTCTTAATCTTAAAACTTGGAAAATATTAGCATATATTTTCATAAAGTGGAGTCAAGCATTAAATACTATCCTCAGTCAACTGAAAGCAATTCGGGATGTAAACTTAGGAAAACCTTAGTCTGACACATGACATGACTCATTTGTTAAGTCGAATATGGCAACACTTTTCTGAAGTTTTCGACCTTGTCATTATTATTTAAATAAAATTTATTTTATATCGGAAATATTTACAAGTCGCATATATTACAAAAATAATAAATAATATATTATTTTCAGCGCTGGGCACGTTAAATCTGTTATATAGTCAATACCTTAGTAGGAAGAATTTTATTTATCTTGTCTTAAGAGATATATAAACCATTCATATAAAGGAAACATTTTAGTTACTGTTAGTTCTAGTGTAGTCCTCGAATGGCGTTCTTTTTTTAAGTCAGTCTTTAAGGATCAAAATAACCGGCTAAAAATGTTGTCAAAATCTACACAATACCTGCTATATGGATTCTGCACACAACGACATCCCACGCTGATAAATTTCTTTAATGCATTTAAGGATAATATAAAATGAAAATTCAATAACTTCGATACGATTTGAACAAGTTGGAAAGCAACACTCGCTTATGTCAAACTCTAATTTCTCTTTCCTTCCATATTTTATAATCACCAAGTCCAAAGCAACCATACGTCTTTGTTCGTTAAAACACCACCATGTTGATTCAATTCTATGTTCGTTCTTAAAACACATTTGAGTTCGTTTCGAACATAACGCATTGTTGTAAAGGCCATTGCTTAGAAACAATGAACTAACCCAACCCTCCCTTCTATTTATCATAGGAATCAAAATTGCGCGTGTTTGCCGCACTAGTTTTGTCTGATGGGTTTAACATAAGCGGCAACAGGTGTGATCGCAGGTATGTGAGCACATACCTACTTACCTCTCGAGTGTGTTTGTGTGACGAAATTTCATTGTGATTTCCTTAGGAAAATTTCAGTTTATTTCCCCCAGATTAAGAGAAGGCGTTTGTGAAATGTTTTGGGTAATTTTGTTGTTTGTTTTAAAATTGACTTTAATGAAGAATAACATCATATATTACAAAATAGTGGAATTTTACGAGACAAATGGCATTATACTTTTTAAATAAAATCTTGGTTATCATCTATAACTTTTTCAAATTAAAGGAAACCTTTTGCAATTGAATTAAAAATTTACAACCGAAATTAAACTTATTTCAAATGGCATGAAACTTTAAGATTTTTAGAAACAACATATTTTTAAACATAAACTAAAAAACCAACTGACGTATTTAGATCTAAGTGTATAAGTCCTACTATTGCTTTATGTCAGTCCTTAAATATCACACTGTAAAACAATATTTTCTCTATAACAAAATCTAGATTCAACATTTCGTCCTCAATAATTTCTAGTTTATTGAATAGAAAAAATTATCAAAAGCGTTACTAGAAACTGGCTCCATCTATTGAAGAATTGCGAGTTGGTACATTTTCATCTTTATATGTTAGGTTGTTAACTCGACTTGGTAACTCAGCGCAGACTTTGTTAGTAATTGTCAGTAGTACTACCCACCACTAGATGTCGCCCTATCATTTTTAATACAACCATATTAGTTTCGTTAAGAAATCTCATTTCGACCAGCAATGTTTCTTTTTTTTTCGACCAGTTCGACATAAGACGTCGTATACCAAGCAAATGTATGCAACAACAAGTTAGAAAGGTATCAGTCGATTTACTGACAGATATATCGCTCATTTACTAAAATTAAATTTTAAAAAAATTAGAGAAAAACGCAATTTTAACCATCGATTGAAATCTGACTTCCCTGATAATAATCGTTTTATTAAAAAGTAATATAACAAGTTAAAAAGAAGCAGTCGGTTTAGCCGATAGATGTATACTCTCAGCCAATTTTCGATTATTTAAATATATATTTTAATTTCGGTTAGGATTATTCAAATTTTTGACCCTCTATGGAGTAGGTTCCAAAGGAATGGGCCAATATAGACCAACCATTGAGACGCACCAAATTAAATAAAAAGTGTATCAAATATGTGATAATTTCTAGAAAATGTTAAAATTTGCGCAAGGTTCTAGATATGGTCGAACGAAGTATTCCGTTTTCATACTTCATCTAATACAGAAATAATAATAAGAAAATTGAATATTTATATCCAATTTTATGCGAAATCATAAATTCCATATTCAGCTCAGGTTGAGAAAAATATTTAGATATAGAGTTATAAAGAATCGTGTGAAATTTGAAGAGAGTTGTATGTATTTCAAGATCTTGAAACCTATGTGGGGCAGGTACCAGAAAAAATGGTCCGATCTCTACCATCTTTATAACAAATCTTGTGTTCATGGAAATATTTAGATGTTCCAAGCTTGAATGGAATCGGATATTAATTTCGCGTTTTATGAGCTCCCTTTAGGGGGGAGGTACCAGAAGAAATAGACCGATTTATCACATCATCGCACCAGACCTTGAGCTAATAAAAATAATGAGAGGTGTGTAATTAGAAGAGAACCGGATGCTTATTTTGATAACAATACATGCTTTATGAGGTCTCCTAGAAATATTTGGAGGTGTTTCTATCAAAAAAGGAAATAAAATCTTCTAAACGATTTCCATGCCAACAAGATCTCAATACATAGAATACATTTTGTGAGTTCCCCGTATGAATTCAATTTTCTTTTATACGACCTCTATTCATAGAAAATTTTAAGTGGACATTGCATAAATGTAGAAAGTAAATTTTACATGTATTATTTTCCTCAATAAATACATTTTTCTGGAAGCGTCTTACAATTGTATACCTGCTTTAATAACACTTCCTAAATCAAGCTCATCTGTGCAAAATTTTGGTTATTTTTTCACAAGTTTTTCTTTGCATTACTTACTTCTCGAATCAATGTCGCTGAGAATGACCAACATAATTTTTTGATTAAAATACAAATTCTTGTTTATTTATATATTAAAAATAATGGTATTAAGTTAACAGTACATTATTATTAATAAAAAAAGTATTTTATATAAATTAAAAATTATACACAAAATTTAAAAACAGATTACATGTGACAATACCACAACGAATAAGAAATAGAGAAAATAAAATAATAACAAATTTACACAGTTTGAGGTTAAGTAGTAAAAATATTAAATAGGAAACTTGGATAATTTTGAGGGAAGAAATACTTGTGTTTCCGTTGTTGTTGTTGTTTAACACACCAATATATATCATTATTATATGTATGTCTGTCGTCTGTGTATATAAAAAAAAACAAAAACAAACATATGGGCAAAAATACAGGTAATTAAAAATTCAAATAATTTCTTTTCTCTTTTGTTCTAAAAATAAATACAATTTGTAAAACTTATCAACTAATGTAAATTAATATTTCTTTCTATTTGTTTCTTCAACTCAAGTTAGTTTTCATTTTGTTATTTTATAAAATAAAAACGCTTATGAAATGCAAGACTCTTTACATCTACACGGGATACGACATGGTTTTGCATTTCTGGTTATCTAATCTGATAAAACAATTTAAAATACTTTTGAATACATAAAATAGTAATACAACAAATAATTGTTAATAATGGGAGTTTTTTGGATAAAAGGACGACTTCATTTGTTACTATACTTAGGTAATATATTTAATAAAATGTTAATAAAAAACGGTATGGTGTATAATTATTTCTATTATTTTGTATAAGTAGATTTGCATAAGTAAATATCATATCATACATACTCCTCCCTTCCACGCTTGAGATGTGTATGTGTTTTCTTTGTATACAAAATATTTAGGCATTAATTCTAAAAAAAAAATATCAAAGATCTCAACAAAATTTACAATAAAAGCACTTGATTTTCATTTCTTGTTTTTTTGCACTTTCCAAGGCAACTTGTGATGAGGATGATGATGATGTGGAGGTTAATAACAAATTTAGAGATTTCCCCACTTCCTTCCACTGTGTGATGTTTTGATTTCTCTTTCCAGCTGTCATTTGGATGGTTATGTTGTTTTGAAAAATGGAGCGGATATTTATTTGTAAAGAAACACATTGCTTGTGGCGTTTCCTTTGTGTTCAACCACTGAAAAAAGAAGAGAAAAAATAAAATGTTAATTCATGGCTGGCATTTATAATTTTTAAAAAATAATATTAACAATTAATAGTTATGGAAAATATCAAACAAAGGACATTTTGTTATTTAATTAAGCTGTCATTGAAACAAACATAACTGTAGCAATAACAATTGATATTTCTTGTAAAAAAAATAAATAAACGTGCCTCATCGAATTAACAGTTTTAGACCCTAGGCCTCTTTTTACCAAATCCGTTTCAGGACATTTGTAGTCGATCTAACGATGTCCGTCCGTCTGTCTGGCTGGTGCGCACGATAACTCTTGAAGGAAGTATCCGATTTGGTTCAAACTTGGTACATCGTAATATTATTGTCAAACTTAGATAGAGTTCAGAGATGGGCAATATCGGTCCACTTCTTCTGGTACCTCCCCCACAAAATGTCAAAATTTTCAAAAAAATAATTTACTGCACAGAAAGAGAAAGGATAATCCGTTTTTGCTCCAACTTTGCAACACCCAATATTTGCATCAGTGCAAGGTCAGGTTGGGAAATTGGCAATATCGGCCCACTCCATCAAGTACTTCCCCCACAAAGGGTCAAAATTTTGAATAATTATAACTCTTATAAAATGTGATAAAACACCCCGATTACACAAATTACGATATTTTTATTAGTCCAAGGTCTGGTGGGAAGTTGGAATATATCGGCCCACTCCTTCTGATACCTCCGCCACAAAGGGTCAAAATTTTGAATATTCATGAAGCTCATAAAACACGAAATTAACATTCGATCCCATTCAGATTTGGTTTATCTCAATATTTCCACGAACACAAGATGTGTTATAAAGATGGTAGAGGGTAGAGGATGGTAAAGGGTTGAAATTTTGAATAACCAAACGATTATAAAATCCGAAAAAAGCATTAGGTTCTCTTCAAACGGCATGCATCAAAATATTTGTATTAGCCCAAGGTCTGGTGTGATGAAGACCCCACAGAGGGTCAACATTTGGAATATCGATGAAGCTCATAAAACGCGAAATTAACATTCGATTCCATTCAGACTTGATGCATCTCAGTATTTCCATCAATAGAAGATATGTTATAAAGACGGTAGAGATGGGTCCATTTCTTCTGTTACCTGCCCCATATAGGGTTCAAGTTTTTGAAAAACAAAACGCTCAAAGAAATTGAAATAAACATCCAACTCTCTTCGAATTTCACACATCCAAATATAACGCAGCATATGTTGTGAAGATGATATATATCTGCGAACTCCTTCTGGTACCTAACTCACAAAGAGTCTCAATTTCAATACTTTCATCTGTCATGCGAAACAAGTCGGCGATTCTTTTATTGTTATATCTAAATATTTCTCTTAAACAGAAATCTGATATGAATAATTTTTCGGAATTTATGATTTCGCATACAATTGGATAAAAATATTAGATTTTCGCCTTCAAAATTTGCACATACCAATATTATTATCTGTATTAGATGATGTATGAAAATGGAATACTTCGGTCCGCTTTATCTGTTACCACACGCATATTTCCACATTTTCCAAAAATTTGCACATATCTCGTATAGGAAGTAGTCGATGTAGTCCAAATCTGGCTCGTTTTAATATTTATATCAGTCTAAGGGCAGATACGAATTGGTCAATATTGGTCACTGCTTCGAAACTTCCCCCATAAAGGGTCAACAGTTTGAATAATCATAATTCAAGGCTGTGGATATACATATATCGTCAAACCGATTTAAGTTTAAGTTTGTATCAAATTGCATGGGGAATAATTTGAAATTAATTTACCGAAAAATAACATTTATATATCATAGCTTTTAAAATGATTTTGGCGACATCAATTCTTAGTATCACTGCTACCCCCACATTTTATGAGGTCTCATTTATAATGTTATATAACTACATATCACACTTGTTAATTATTTATTTGTCATTGGGGGTTATGGACGACTTAACATATAAACATTAATACAATTAATTGCAATCATTAAAAACATTAATTTATATCAATAAATAGAAAATATCTTACTTGTGCCTCAATCGCGAGAGTTCTCAAAATTCTCTGTAGCATGCATTTTTGTAGGTGGAGTAGTAGTAGTTGTTGTTGTAGGAGTATGTATTTTTTTGTAAAACGTGCATCTAAGCATTTAGCATTCTTACAAAAAATCGTTCATATTGATGTAATTTTTAAAACTAAATTAAAATTTATGTTAATTCAATTTTAATAAAAAAAAAAACAATTAATTAAAAATGCATAAAAAATTACAAATAAAGACAGCGTACAACAACAAATATGTCAATGAAATTGTGCATTGTGAAAATGGCCAATTATTTATGGTAATTAAATGGGTGCAGTGTGTATGAGAAAAAAATAATAGAGAAAAAAGCTTACAAGATGAATTTGAATTCTGAACAAAAGACAAAATTATGAATAGCAAAATGAAGCGATAAGAAAAAATGGAGAAGGTTTTTTATACCCTACACCACATAGTGGTAAGGGTATTATGTCTTTGTGCATTCGTTTGTAACAGGGAGAAGGAAGCGAGATAGATCCAAAGTTACTTTTGAGGATCCTCATAGAATCACTTTCTGAGTCGATTTATGCATGTCAGTCCGTCTGTCCGTCCGTCCATATATTCTTGTGATTTTGTTCACAAGGTAGCATTTATTATCCGATTAAGATGAAATTTTCCAAACAATATTTGTTTGGCCCAATGACGAACCCTATTGAAATTGGCGATAATTGGTCAGATTTACCTGCATTTTAGCACATCCAACCGAATTAAGTCTAGAAGCATGTACATCAAATTTAGTGAAAATCGGTTCAGACATAGCATTCATCCGATTTGGTGTTTAAGACCCTCACCTGCGTAATAACAATGATATTTGGTACCAAATATCAGATACAGCCCGGAAATATCTCTTCCATATTTTATAAAGATCGGTTCAGATTTCGATACAACTCACATATATATCTTCAACCGATTTCGGGTTAATTGTCAACATTTTCAAAGAAAATAATGTACCTCATAGAAAGAGAAAGAGTCATGCGATATTGCACATCCCAATATTTGTGCCAGGACAGTAGTGAAAATGAAGAATATATAACCCGCAAAGGGTTAAAATTTCGAACAATCATAAATCTTTATAACATTTGAAATAAGAGTCTGATTGTCATCGCATTTCTCACATCCCCATATTTTTGTTAACGCAAGACCTGGCATGAAGATGGGATACATCGGCATACCCCTACTGGTACCACCCCCACAACGAGTCAACATTTCAAGTACCTCTCCCAAAAAGATAAAAAGAAAAAGAAAGAAGGATCATGAGAAGCGAACTGAGCATTCAATTCTCTTCAAATTTCACACATCCCAAAATTTTCTTTTAATTTTGCACATCCAAATATTTTTGTCTGTATTAGATGAAGTGGAACTTCGGTTCGCGCCCATTTGAACATTTTCCAAGAATTATAGGCCAAATCTGATACCTTGTAATCTTTGTATCAGATTCTGGTCAGATACAATATGGATAATATTGGCCCAATCTCCCCTATAAAGGGTCAAAAATTTAAATAATCGTAATTCACGCAATGAACACAAAAATGAATACATATACACCCATTGACTGAGGGTACACAACTGTCGGCGAGACCGACTGATACTTTTTAACTTGATTTTTTTTTTGCTTTACTTTCATAATAAGCTGGATTTCCCCCGTAATTATTGAAAACATTTAATTTTGTCGCATAGTGGTATTAGTCTTAAGTTCCCACTGTAAGTATTCTTGTATATGGGAAAAATTTGCGACTATTGAGCTTAATACAATTAATTCAACAAGAATAAAGATTAATTGAAAATCCACAGTAATTGGTCAGAATAATTTTAAAAATTTGCCTTTAAGAGATACACAATTATAAGCTGTTTTCTCAAAAACAAAAACATAGGATACCTAGGATGGGTTCTAATAGGCTAAGAGGTCTTTAAATCGAATATAAATTTAATGTTATTTGCTTGTGAAGGTGTTTCTTATAATTTTAACTTGCTCAGAATTCCAAGCGAGAATAGGGTTATCGTAACAAAATTTTGCTACATGCATTATGTGAAGGCATTCTTACCTTACCAGTTGAGAATTTATAAGCCTTAGAAATTTACTTAAAAAATGACTTAAAATAATAAAGCATTGGGACAACAGCAAACAATAATGGCAAGCAGAAACGAGTGGGGAATTTACTTAGGAAGAAATGGGATAGTTTAGAAATGATAGCATGCCTTAAATACTACTATAACTTCTTCCAAGAAAAATAAAACATTACTTACCTCTTCGCTGAAGTGGTGCGAGAATAGGGATTTTGTAATAATTTCGGCTGTGTTTCCATAACTCGCAAAAGTAAATTGTCCAAATAATCCTCCAGTTCTTTGACACGTTGACGCTGCAGCAGGGCTTCATTTTCCATGCCATTGGCAATTAGCATAAGTTCCTGGTGGGAGTAAAAAAGAAAACATTTAAAACATCAAGGTAACAAACTTCAATAATAACCTACCTCTCTTGATTTGCCTTCATATTTTTTGGCCAATGCTGCTGATATCTCGGCACGTCTTTCGGCCTGCGTAGAAGACTTTTCATGACCAATTATAATGCGTTCATTTGCCTTGGGACTAGGTGTAGAAGCAGTACTTACAGGTTGTTTGTTTTCTAAATTGGAGGGAATAAAAGGCAAGGCAAATTGCTGTTATTGAGTGTCTTTTCAAAAAACTTTCGTTTAGAAGAAAGCACTTATCTAATGTAAAAACAGAACAAAACCAAACGTCACTACTTATTAAGAATAATCATGCGTATGAGTGTTATGAATGTTTGTGTTTGTGGTGGGTGCAGTCTTTAGTTTTTTTTAAACCTGTAAGGACATTCTTTACGTGGGTGGATAGGATAGGTGGTTGTTTAATATTAATTCCATTTCAACGAATGAACAACGAGACGAATGTGGGACAAAATACAATGTGAAATACCAACAACTTAAGCGTATAAAAAAAGTAACAAAATAGCCAACAAAAAGTGGTTTATTGGATAGACAACTGCTCCAGTGGGAATGGGAAATGTAGGGGGAGATATTCTTATTCTTTTTTTTTTCTTTTTAGTTTTTGTTTTGGTGAGGCTTGGCTAACATAAGCTTGGTGGTTCCACAAACACAAAATCCATTTCATCATAAACGCCGACTACTCTTCTCACCTCGCAGCTCACCTCGATTATTGTGGTTCATGTTGTTGTTGTTGTTGTTGCTGAGTGCAAGACGTTCTTTAATCTCATGTTTTTCCTTCTTCTTTGTCTCTTCTTTTTGTTCTTTAGGTTTGCTATCGAATACTGGCTTCTCTTTAGATTCCTCAGGGGTTAGTAGGCGTTTTGAAAAGTTCAAAATCCTCAAATCTTCTTCACGTCGCTTGGCCTCACGTCGTTTTTCTTCTTCACGCTCCTCTAGTTCTTTTTGTAAAGCCTGTTCCTCTTCACGCAAACGCTTTTCATTGGCCTTAAGTTCGGCCTCCAATTTGGCATCTTCTGCAGCCCTTTGCAAGCGTAATTTTTCCTTTGCCTCCTCTTCTTCTTTGGCCCTAAGTTGTTCCTTTTCTTTTTCCAAGGAGGCAGAACTTCTGGGCCTGGGTTTAGGTTGTGGTGGTGACGAACGTGACTTGGCTGACGACATGGATTCATTTGCTAAAAAGTTACTAGTTTCCTCTTCGATATCGAAAACCTTGGCACTGTGCCGTTGTTCGAATTTGGCAAAGGAAGCATTGAATTTAGCAAATTCATTTTTCTCCTCCTCGGGTGATAGCAAGGAATCTTTGCGCAAAATTACTTCACTCTTGGGCTCATTGGTGGCAGTTGAAAATTTGAGATCTGTTGGTTTTTGGGGTTTCACTTCCTCTTCCGGCTCTTGTTTGGATGGTTTAGGAACTTCTGGTTCTTTAGATTTTTCGGGTAATTTTGGTGGTTCCTCTTCGGCTTCGGATTCGCTACTTGAACTGGAAGTGTCACTCAATGTTTCCGGTGTATGAGCCTCTCTCAAAGGAGGCAAAAATGATTTACCCAGTGATTCGTTGGCAGATGCCACCACCACTGATTCCTCTGGAACATTGCTGGAGGTCAAGGGCACCGAAACGGGTTCCCATGATCTGCGTTTCAATGAATCCGAATTACCACTGTCCGCACTGCGTCCATACAATTTCGATTCCCATTCGTCCAACTCGGTGTTGTTGTGTTTGCCATTAATTCTGATATCACCAGCTCCACCACCATTAACGCTTGTATCCATTTGAGGTGTACGTGGAGGTTTCGAGGGAGGCGGCAGAGTTCGAGCTCTAATGCTAAATTCATTTTCAATTTCTTCCAATTCCGGATCCACACTGAGGTTGTCTGATCCATCATATCTGAGATGGTGGTCCTTACCTTTGCCGGTCGAGCCCATCAGGGGAGAGGGATTCTTTGTTGCATAATTCGATGCAGGTGTCTGCAAACCGCCATCGCGCAAATTCAAAGAGCTAACCGAACTCTTTTGTGACAGTTTATCGAATTGAAATTCATCTTCGTCTTCGCTGTCGACGACACGTACCCGATTTGGCGTTCCAATGCTGGCAAATGAACCGGTATAGGACATGCCATCCTCATCGATGCCATCCTTGTTCTTCTTTTTGCCGGTGGGCAAATGCAATTTAGAACCGAACTTTTTGGCAATTTTCTTGATACCCTTACGTTTTTCTATTTGGCCAATTGAGAGCAAACTACCACCCACCGAAGATGCCAGCTGTCCTATGGAAGACTTGTGTTTTTCTTTTTTGCTCAAATCGGTTAGGGAGCCCGATTTGACAGTGAACGAAATCATGGCCATCAACTCGCCACGTTCCTTGTTCTTTTTCTCTTTGCCCGGTTTACTTTCCAATTTGTACCATCGCGATCTGGCACGATCATACGGATCCATTTCGTTGAGTGGCAACGTCACTTGTCCCAAGAATTCATCAATGGCCAAGTTGTTGCGGTGCAGACATGTTAATACCAATTCAGCTCTGTTGCCTTGATCGGGAATTTTTCTGCAATGAGAATTGAGTGGGTTTTTAATTCGAAGGTTGTTGGTGATATTTTCAAAATACTTACAATTCACATTCTTCATTCCACTGGACATTGCTTTCAGCCTTCTCCTTTACCGAGGTCTGGTATTTTTCTTTGCCCAACGCAATGGTGACAAAACAGTTGTTTGTGTTGTTTTTGCCCTTGCATAGTAAACCGCGGGCACTTTGTACTGTAAAAGACACATAGAAGGGAGAATGTTAAATAAATTTTGAAAACATTTGGAAAGGTAAATAAAGCGTTTCGAGAGTATTTGGTCTTCAGATTGTTACATTCAAAAATAAAAAAATAGTTTAAAATCTAAGCAGAAATGCGAAGTAGTCCTATTTACTTCCATGAAATCTTTATAATTTTGCTCTTCCAGATTTCACTGTTCAGTTCAAAAAAAAAAAAAAAAAAATACTGAAAAAGAACATCCCACTATTTTAAATTTGCAAAACTTCGTTTAAAACTATAGTAGATTTTTATAAATGAGAAAATGATTAATTGCTAAATTTCAAGTCAGGGTTACCATGACATGTCCCAAGTAAAAAAAACCACAAATTATTTGGCCATAAAATATTACACGTTTTGTTCGCCCATCAGAAATAAACTTGCAACATGGAAATGTGCGTGGCAGAAACGCTTACAACCATATTTCAGAAAAAATTGCAGCTATTAATTGATTTGAATTTCAAATGAGTCAATTAGAATAAATACTATATACATACAAAGGTATCAACGGCTTTTCTATTTTTTGTGATTTAGTGAGAATTTAATAGCGTCTATCCAAGACTTTCATAATTTTGAATCCACAACGTATTTTCGAGGATATTCACAATCTACGTTGACTTAAAACAATTTATTTGAAAGTCACCGAAATTTAGTTCCAATACAAAGTCGGGAGAAATAAAATTACGGTTTTTTTGTAAAGAGAGAAATATTAAACTTCCGTTTTTAAGAAACTTCTTCGAGTTTTCTATGTGAATACAGACATTATTTCACACCATCGCTTGCAACCTTCGGAAAAAAGTGTATTTATTAATTGATTACAATTTATTTTATTGTTATATTTATTTAATAAGTATATATAAATTTGATTTACTTTTGTTTAGTCGTACTCCTCAATTGTTAAGAAATTAATTTTATTATTTGTTTTATTGATTAACTTCAAGTGAAATCAAACAAATATAGATAAAGGCATTGATTAGATGCGAAAATAGCCACATCGCCTGGAGTTTGTTCCCGGTTACTGACAATCAATTTGTCTTATGGAACTCTCAGTCAAATTTTAAATTTTTAACTTGGGCTGACCAAAAAGAGTGATGAAATTCACGAAGTGTGAGTTCGATTTTATCCTTACTTTTACCCATCAGAAATAGCATTAAAAACTCAGCAGATTATGAAAGTAGAACTAAAAGTATTGTCATGTGTATCGACTTTTTATACTCTCAACCATACTATGGAGGGCATATTAACTTTGTCATTCCGTTTGTAACTCATCCAAATTCTTGATCAGCGCAAAATTCTAAGTCGATTTAGCGATGTCCGTCTTACTGACTGTCTGTCCATCTGCCTGTTGAAATCACGCTATCTTTCGAACGAATTGAGATAGGCTAAATATTACACACATGTGTATTTTCTCAGTAAGTTGAAAATAGGTCATGTCAGTTCACGTTTTCGTATAGCCCTCATATACTGGTACCTCTAAATATTAGGTATTTTGATGATGGCAGAAAGTGTCAAAAGAATGATATTCTATTCAAATTCAATAAAAATATCAAAATAATCCTAGACACTGTAGTGTGAGATTAAAAACCTGCAACAAAATCAAACGCCATAATTTATATACTTTTTTTAAATTTTATTGAATGAAAGCAAATATCGTCGGAAATAGCATCAAATTTTAGGATAATTCTCGATTTGTTTGAATTTGTCACCTTTGTCACGAATTATGGTCTTCAAACGGCCAATGAAACCGTCACACGCTGCCCGAATGTTGCTTTGCAGTATTTTTGACCATTCCCGGCGAAGCGCTTGCTTGAGGTGATCGACACTTTGGTATTTTTTAGTACCAACCTTGCTTTCCAAAATACTCCAGATACTTGGTATCCGGAGATGGTAGTCATTGTGAGCTGGTAATGAGGCGAGGAACCTCATTTGGTAAACATTCTTGGGTGGCGCGTGCTGAGTCCTGTTGGAATATCCAAGGTCTGCGGCCAAAATGTTTGCGTGCCCTAAGCTTAAATACACCCTCCGGAATATTTTCGCGATAATAATCGGCATTTATTCTGATACCACGGTCATTTATTAATACGAGCGGAGAGTGACCATCGACTGTTATGGCGGCCACATCATCACCATGGCCGCCGTTTGAGTTCTGGTGGCCAACCGAAGGTGCAGGTGGAGTGCTGTAACGATAGCCACTTGTGGTTTTCCAGCCAAATATAAATAAATCACACTAACACGCTTGAATTCCATCACGAATAACTTTTTTCTGATAAATTCTCACAAAAATCCTTTTGTTCGCTTGTAAACAATATAATGAGCTGTCACTGGAATAATTTTAAGAGCTGTCGGACGAGTGGCTTAGAAATGACAGCAGTCTGAAATTGGTTGCAGTTTTTTCATCTCACCCTGTATCTGTTGGTAAACCAACAAATAATTTCTTACTTTTTAGTTGACATTTAAAAAGCCAAATGCTTATTTCCTTTGTTGTTTCAAAATGCCCAAGCTTAATTCCATTTTTGTTGTTGCTTTTATTTTCTAAGTCATCATTAACCAAAGAAATGCTTTCTGAAGATTTAAAATATATTCGAAATATAAAAGTTAAATTTCGCAAGTTTCCTTAGAAGTTTAATTCAGTCCTCCCACAATTAGCATTTGAAATACCATCCAATTTAGCAGAGAACCATAACAATATGCCCCTAAAATAGATTTCCCACGATAAAATTAAATTCCAAAAACAAAACAAAATTTAATGGCGAGTTTTGTTTAATGCCAATGTATGGCGTCGTCAACATGGACGTGGCTCAAGGACAAATAAAACAGAGCACACAAAAAACAGAAACGGAAATGGGTGAGATTGAAATATAATTTCAACAAACAAATTTGGTTTGAAAACAACACACACACACACACACAAAACAATAACATTCGCAGATTTATCACAACCTTCAAGATTATTTTCAAAACCAAGTTTCTTTTCAATGAAAGTTCAACATTTCAAATCAAAGCATGTCTTGGACGGACGGCAGCTCAACATATCAAATATGCAGATCATTATTTACAGCGAACCATGTCAGCAATAGATTGCTGCCAACCGTCATCGAAACAATTGCCACTTCTGTGCAAAATTGCCACTGCTCGCAACAGTGACTGAATGAATGGCTTGGCTTGGCTTTCCAAAGAAATTTGAATTAGAAAACGATTAAAACGAATTGATGATTTGGAGTGAGATATAAAAACAAAAGTACCATACGAAAAAAGACGCGTGTTTTGCGTTGTTGTAGTCGTCTAGAGGAAATGGAAGAAAGCAACAAAAATACGTGGAAAAAAATGTTACAGTTGATCATTTGTTTCCCCCTCGGGATATTTTCTGTCCACAGCTGGTATCTTGAGTAACTATATTGGGATGTACCAGATCTGAATGGAATTTCGTGTTTTATGAGGTTCATGGATATTCACAATTTTGACCCTTAATGGGGGAGGTACCAGAAGCAATTGACCGATATATTCCATCTTCACATCAGATCTTGTGTTAGTAAAAATAATAGATTGTGTGAAATATGAAGAAAACGGAATGCTTATTTCGGATTTTATAATCGTATTGGTTATTCGAAACGTTGACCCTTTGAGGGGTAGGTACCTGAAGGAATGGTCCGATCTCTACTATCTTTATAACCGATCTTGTGTTGATAGAAATATTAAGATGTACCAAGTCTGAATGGAATCGGATGTTAATTTCGTGTTTTGTGAGCTTCATGAATATTCAAAATTTTGACCCTGTGGGGGGAGGTACCAGAGGGAGTAGACTTATATATTCCATCTTCACACCAGACCTTGGGTTAATAAAAATATTGTGATATGTGTAATTTTAAGACAATCGGACTCTTACTTTACATTTTATAAGAGTTGTAATTATTCATAATTTTGACCTTATGTGGGGGAGGTACTTAATGGAGTGGACCGATATTGTCTATTTTTGCATCAGACCTAGCACTACTGCAAATATTAGGATTTGCAAAGTTAGAGCAAAATCAGATTATCCTTTCTCTTTCTGCGCAGTATATCATTTTCTTTGAAATGTTGACATTTTGTATGGGAGGTACCATAAGGAGTAGACCGATATTGCCCATCTCCAAACCCGATCTAAGTTTGACAATAATAATACGATGTACCAAGTTTAGATCAAATTGGATACTCCCTTCGAAGGTTATCGTGCGCACCAACCAGTCAGTCAGACAGGCAGACGAACGGACAGACGGACATCGCTAGATTGACTCCAAATGTCCTGAAACGGATTTGGTCCAAAGAGACCTGGGATCTAAAACCGTTATTTCGATGAGACACGTTTTGGCCGTACCAAATGATATATACCCACTCTAGGTATATGGCTAAGGTATAAAAAACCGAAAAAATGACCGGGTCTGTGGCGCAATTACCCCAAGACAAAATGTACAACAAAAGAAACACGAAAAAAGTGTAAATAAAAACAAAAACAGCAACAGCAACAAATACGACACTTAAATTAGAAGACATTTGATGCCATGACGATCAATCATTAATTGCAAAAGAACCGGCAGGCAGTGTGCCACTTTACATGTCTCGCACCCAAACAACAGTAAAAATTGTTAACAAAAACAAAAAAAAATAAAAACATGGTCGAGAAAAAGGCAGCAACAACACAAATTCATATAAAAATAAAATAAGAAAGCCGCCATCAAAAAAATCTGAAATCAAAACACAATGGAAAGTAAAAGAAAGAAAAAATCAAACAACTTTGACGTTCACGTTTGGGTCTTGACGTCGAAAGCTGTTGCCGCTGCTGGCCCAGTCGTTGTGTACCGCCGCCGAATGGTGTGAATAATAATTTGTTTATTTTAAAACCACAGATAACCCACGGCGCAGCGATAAGAACGATAAAAGGCTTTAAATGGTGAGTGAATTCGCCAGCCAGCCAACAAATGGTTGAAGTTGTGACTGCCTTGCCAAGGTGTGAAGGGAATTCCAAAAATCAATTATAATTGATCGGAAAATAGTCAAGTTGCATTACAAAGGTATTTGCTGTATAGGAATGTTTATCTGTAGTGTAATCAAATGTGTTAAGTCATTTGTTGGCCTACTTAGGAATTTCGGAACTGTATTACTCATGGCCCCCACAGCAAGTGTAAAAATACAAATATTTCATTTTTGTCAGATATTTATGAAGTTTATTTGTTTTCTCAAAACCCTACTCTTGGAATATTTGAAAAAAAAAAAAAAATAATTTAATATATCAATGAGAAAATATTTAAAAAAAACTTCCGATTTTGGTTTTTAAAAATAGGTTCGAAAACATGATTTTTAACTAAAAAAAATCAAAAAGAAGGATTTTAGATTTGAATTTTCTTAAATACGACTTTATATCTAGTTTTGAAAATACATTATATATAACATAACATAGGGACAAAAAAATCCTCGGTGTGTATTGATAAAAAGCATTATTAGGATTAAAGTCGACTTTGTGAAATAAAAAAACTACAACCACGTAATAAGGTTGTTCCTTCCTTGCATTTGGTCCTTCGAGCCTTCACTTTTTTACAATAAAAAAAGAACCAAAAAGTAGATTTTCTCCAAACAGAGGAGTATTGCTGCAAAAAAGTAGAAAAAACATTGCGGTCCCTGGAAAATAAATTAGAAGAAGCTACAGTTAATCACGAGAAACTGACCCTATAGATCAAAATACGTTACATATTTCCAAAAATAGGTATGGGAGCTGATTCAGGCCTACACCTCATATATAGAAGCTATGAAAGCTGAAGCATTGGGAGATATTCATAAATCTAGAAAACAACAAAAAGCCGCAATATCTGCATAACCGACGGAAGAAATGGAATTGAAAGGGGTGCTGCCAGATGAGCCTAGAAATGTGTTTGATGACCGTGTGAATATTTTTTATAAAAGGCAGATGGAAACCCCTCGAGCAATCTGGATCATCCGATCAACTAAATACAAAAAAAAAAAACAATTTAAAAATTATCAGTCGGTTTTGCATACCCTCAGCCAATATTCGATTATTTAAATATAATTTGATTTCTATAATGATTATTCAAATTGTTGACCCTTCATGGAGTAGGTTCAGAAGGAATGGGCCAATATTATCCATTTCGTATACGCTTAGCAAATGTTCGATTATTTAAATACAATTTGACTTCCCTCCATGGAGTAGGTTCCGAAGTTGCTGACTTGTTTCGCAAGCATTAAAAATTATGACCCTTTGTGGGTGAGGTACCAGAAGCGGTTCGCAGCACATATATCATCTTCACCACAGATCAGATTATTTCGCTTTTCTGAGCGTTTTGTTTTTCAAAATCTTGAACCCTATGTGGAGCAAGTACTTGAAGGAATGGTCCGATTTCTACCATCTTTATAACAGATCTTGTGTTGATGGAAATATTGAGATAAACAAAATTTGAATGGCATCGGATGTTAATTTCACGTTTTATGAGCTTCATGGATATTCAAAATTTTGACCCTTTGTGGAGGAGGTACCAGAAGGAGTAAACCGATATACCCCATCCTCGAAGCAGATCTTTTGTTAATAGTGATATTGGGATGTGTGAAATTTGGAGGGATTTGTATGCTTTCTACGCATTTGTAAGCGGTTTTGTTATTAAAAAATGTCAACCCTTTTGTGGGGGAGGTACCAGAAGAAATGGACCGATCTCTACCATCATTATAACAGATCTTGTGTTGATAGAAATATTGAGATGTGCCAAGTCTAAATGGAATAGAATGTCAATTTTGCTCTTTATGAGTTTCATGGATATTACAAATTTTGCACCAGGAAGAGTGGGCCATATACATTCCATCTTCGCACCAGACCTTGGGTTGTTAAAAATATTATGATGTGTGTAATTTGAAGAAAATCGGACTCTTACATCACATTTTATAAAAGTTATAATTAATCAACATTTTGTCCTTTTTTGTTTTCCTTATATACCCTCTGTAACCATATGACTGAGAGTATTAAAATTATGACTATTATTCTGGAAATATATTCTTAAACATTCACGATTATTGTTGGTCTGAAGATCCTCAGAAGAAAGTCTCTAACAAAAAATGGTGTATTCTACGACCATTTAGTGCTAAAATCCTTAAAAAAAACAAATAATAGTCTGAATGACGAAATATTCTTAATAATGTCTACGATTATTATTCTTAAAAAATATGATTATTGATTTGAAAGCTATTCGACAAATGTTTTTAAGAAATCATCGAATGTTAGTCCGATTATTTCTTTGAAGATCCTTAGTACAAATAATTTCATAAGATCCATGATTTTGAACGGATAATGTTGAAAAATATTATTTTAACTTTTAAGAAAAATATGGAAAATTCAACGAACATCACTCTAAGGTCTCTTGAAATTTTTTCTTAAGAAATTCACGACTTTAGCTTAAACAGGGTGGCCCAGAAAGAGCGAAGTGTGTGTATACCTACAACTTTTTTTATTATAATGTGCTTTTTTTATTTTTTCTTTTCAGTACTTTGTAATGAAGACTTGGACAATTTATAATGGAGCAATACTCAACTGAACAAGATGCTCAAATGTACTATACAAATCAACGGTCCATAGGATATGGGCTACGAAAAGCCCGAACGTACTTCATCCACGACAATTATACCCAGTTAAGGTTACTATTTGGTGTGGTGTTTCTTTAGAAAGGACCGTGAACGTGGTGTCGCCATTTTATCACTGGTGATCGATATCGGTCCATGTTGGACAATTCTGTAAGGCCAGCCGTAGAAAAGGATGGAGCGAAAGCGTACATTGCGAGGGCCACAAAGGCTCGTAAAAAAGTAATATCGCGGAGAAACAAATTTAACCGTTCAGCATTCTCCAGAATAAACCGCTCCAGACAGCTTCCTTTTGGGGCCTAGGATATTTCAGGAATGAAAAACCAATATTCGAGACGAAGTTATCAGAAGTTTTGCGAAAGGTCATGGAAAATGTGTTGAAAAGAGCACATTTGTGCGAAGCAGAAAATGGGCACCACTTGCGGGACATCACTTTTAATAACTAATCTAAAAAATCTTTATAAATATAATGTATTTAAAAAATAAAAAAATGCCAAATAAAAAATTTTAATTCACACCACTTCTATTTTTCTGGGATACCATGTGCATAATATATCCTTAAAAACTAGAAAGTCCTTCAAATGTTTTTTAAGATATTCAAAACCATCCAACTGGTAGATTTTTTAATATAAATATTTTATAGACCTTGAAATAAAAGAAAAAGTATCCATAAATTCCATCACTCCAAAGCCATTAACACAAGACTGGGCCCTTAGTTTAGTTTCTGTTTGCGAAAAAGGTAAATAAAATGAACTTTAAATTGCTTACTCTAAAAAAAAAAAAAAACTTCACTACCGCATGCTAATCAATAGCCGAACAAATGGACAACAATAAATTTGCGATAAGGTGGTAAGTAAACATAACTAATTCAACTACTAATGCACTACAAAAAATCCATGACTAATGGGATTCAATTTGTGGTAGGTATTTCAAGGTAATGAATGAATGGTAGGTAGCGGTTTGGAAGCTAATAAAAATACGTTTGAAGAAGAAAAATATTTCAAAGGCATTTACCAAGTGATGAGGAATTAAATACAGCTGTACATATAAATGACTCAGCCATAGAAAGGATTTTATTAGACCCAGACTATATTTTCACTTATAATTCAAAATATTTTCTTAAAATATTTACAAATGTAATTATTCATTACAAACTTTGGTATGGTTCCAACAACATTTCCTCTCAAATTAAGGTGAAAGTTGTTAATCCGAAATTATCAAAAAAAAAGAGAAATAATCCTAAAAATAAAAATTTAATTGTTAATAATTTAATATAATGGCCAGCTAAATAAGGCCATAAACTAATCTTGAAAAGCAGCCATTAAACTTGAAGATAGTCGTCCATTAATTCAAAGGTGATGGGTACGCAACAAAATCATTATGATAGAATGAAGAAAAAAATCCATCCAACGTGCTCTTCTCCCCCTCCATCCATCTCTTCACCTTTGTGGCACAAATGGAAAATAAACACACAACGAATAAACAACCACTTGGTATTCCGAACAAAGTCAATTGTCACCGGTTTCCATGTCATGTTCATTGCATCTGTTGGTATCTAGCTTCAATTTCTGCCACACCACACCACGTCCATAGATATGAGATGTTCAGTTCATTCGATGGATTGCTCTTTTTTTTTTAATTGTAATTTTCACAAAAAGAAAGAGAGATGAAAAATAATAAAAAAACAAACAAATGAAAAATAGCAAAAAATGGAAACGAATAATGTCACTTGCAAAATGTGCAAAGATCAAGATCAATGGGGCCAGATAGGTAGGTAGTTAGATAGTCAGCCAGTCATAGCCAACACAAAAACAGATCATGCCAAACCCAAACACGCTGGTGAAACAAACTTAATGTTGATTGGTTAGCTTATTTACATTGTTAATGGGAGGGTTATCATAACAACTTTTTTTTTAATTAGAATATTGGCAATTATAATTTTTATAACGGATTTTAAAAATCGGTAACCCCAAAAACTTTCTTAATAAAGCCTACAACTATTGAGGCCTGATGGTTCTTTAAAAAAAACTATTCTCAAAGGTTCTGATGGCCTTTAAAAACATTCTTAAATAGCACCGAATTGAGGGTCGGATGACTCTTAAAAACCTAAATGGCCGATATTAAAAATATACTATTAAAAATCACGAATTTTTGATTACGTCCACCTTATAATAGGCATTTTAAAAATCCTCAATAAATGAATGGTTTCATGGTTTTTATTAAAAACTATAAATCCACGATTTTTGGTGTCGTAGACTTGTCCCGAGGACCGTAAAGAAATATAAAAAAAAAATTATGAGTATACACCCCTTGGATCTTGTAAAATCAATTTTAATCCAGTAAAGAAAGTCTTAAGGTCAGACTGGCCGACTTTATGTTACCCTACACCCCATGTATTTGGTGCATAATTAACTTGAAATCGGATAAAGATATACATGGGAGCTATATCCTAATCTGAACCGATCTCGATAAAATTTGGCAAAGGTATTTCTGAGCTGCATTTGATATATTTCACCGAATATCGTTGTTAAGGAGTGCATGTTAAGGCTGTGGAGATATATATATCTGAACCGATTTTCACCAAATTTGACATACTTATTTCTAGGCTCAATTTAGTCGTAAGTGCAAATACCATCCTATTTGGCCTAATATTACACGTTTGGTGCACAATAAAAGGCAAATCGGACGAAGATATATATGGTAGCTATATATAAATCTGAACCGATCTCGATAAAATTTAGTATAGGTATTACTGAACTGTATTTGATATACAGGGTGAGATGAAAAAACTGCAAACAATTTCAGACTGTTGTCATTTCTAAGCCACTCGTCCGACAGCTGTTAAAATTATTCCAGTGACAGCACATTATAATGTTTACAAGCGTACAGAAGCATTTTGGTGAGAATTTTCCAGAAAAAAAGTTATTCGTGATGGAATTCAAGCGTGATAGTGTGATTTCTTTTTATTTGGCTGGAAAACCACAAGTGGCTATCGTTAGAGCACTCCAGCATTTAAATGTAAATAAATCTTTTGTGTCTCGTACCATCGCTCGTTACCGGTTACCGTGATACTGGTAGTGTAACCCGAAGTCAAGGAAGTGGACGGAAGAAAACAGCAACATCAGCAGAAATGGTTCGGAAATAGACTCAAAAGAGCTAAAGAGTTGCTTCGCTTGGCCGAAAGTGGAGAACCGCCGTATTTAGTTTTCTCCGATGAGAAAACATTCGTTCTTCAGCAGTTTGTAAACCAACAAAATTATCGTTTTTACTTGCCAAAGAGGTCAGCTGAAAATGTACACCTTCGGTTGGCCACCAGAACTCAAGCACCAGCCATGGTGATGGTGTGGGCCGCCATAACAGCCGATGATCGCTCTCCGCTCGTATTAATCGACCGCGGCATCAGAATAAATGCCGAATTATTATTGCGAGGGTGTATTAAAGCCTTGGGCATGCAAACATTTCGGCCGCAGACCTTGGACATTTCAACAGGACTCAGCACCCATTGCACTCAGCACGCAGTTACCAAGAATGGTTACAAAATGAGGTTCCTCGCTTCATTTCCAGCGCACAATAACCACAAAAATATCCGGATACCAATCCGTTTGACTATTGTGTCTAGAATATTTTAGAAAGCAAGGTTGGCACTAAAAAATACCATAGTGTCGATCACCTCAAGCAAGCGCTTCGCCGGGAATGGGCCAAAATACAGCAGAGCAACATTCGGGCAGCCTGTGACGGTTTCATTGGCCGTTTGAAGGCAATAATCCGTGCCAAAGGTGACCAATTCGAACAAATCTAAACTTATTCCAAAATTTGATGCTATTTCCGACATTATTTGCTTTCATTCAATAAGGTTTTAAAAAAATGTAAAAATTTAAAAAAAATCGAATTCTTGAAAAAAAATTGTGGTAAAAATCTTCAAAATAACGAATATCAGAAGGTATCGTGATATGCCACCGAAGCTAGAATCCATTATGACTTACAAATACCAATACTTAGACAACTCCGAGAAATGTGGCGAAAATCATCGAAATACCGAATATCGGGACGTGCCGTTATATGGCGGCTATACACAAACGTGGACCGATATATCTCATTTTCAATACCAAGCATCCTAGATACAACAATAAATTGTTCAAATTTTGAATGTGGGCTGTATTCAAATAATATGGGCTGTATTGTGATTCGAACAGACAGACGGATGTCTTTAAATCGACTTAGAATTTTATGCTGATCATGAATATATAGACATGGGGTCTAATACGAATATTTAGGAATGATACAAATTGAATGACAGAGTTAACATACCCTCCGTTTTAAGGTGGAGGTTATAATCAGTGGGATCATTGCAAAAGCTATTTTTATACCCTCCACCATAGTATGGAGGGCCTTAATATACCCTAAGTTTATCTTTCCGTTTGTAACACCTCGAAATATACATTTTAGACCCCACAAAGTATATATTCTTGATCAGCATAAAATTCTATGTCGATTAAGCGATGTCCGTCCGTTTGTGGAAATCACTCTAGCTGGCGAACAAAATGAAGTAGGTTGATAAAATTTTACTCAAATGTATATTATGTCTGCAGGACTTTTTGCATTGAAAATGGGCCATGTATGTCCACGTTTTGGTATAGGCCCCATATAACGGTACCTACCAATATTCGACACTTTGATGATTTTAGCGACATTATCCACCGGAATTGTTTCAAATTTGGTATTTGAAGTTCGTAATAGATACTACAGTCTATGACAGAAAATTGTCTGTGCAGGTCCACGTCTTCTTTTAACCCCCATATAACGGTATCTCCCTATATTCGGTATTTTTATAATTTTAGCGACATTATTCACCGGAATTGTTCCAAATTTAGTATTAGAATTTCGTAGTGGACAGTACAGCCTAAGACAGAAAATTGTCTGTGCAGGTCCACGTCTTCGTATAGCCCCTCCATATAACGGTATTTCCCGATGTTTGGTATTTTGATGATTTTAGCGATATTATTCACCGGAATTGTTTCAAATTTGGTATTTGAAGTTCGTAATAGATCATACAGCCTAAGACAGAAAATTGTCTGCGCAGATCCACGACTTCGTATAGCCCCCATATAGCGGTACCTTCCTATATTCGGTATTTTGATGATGATGGTCGTATGGACCCATATATAACGGCTACATTCGGTATTTTTAAGACTTTAACAGAATTTTATAAGGATTTTATTTATTTATTTATTTATTTTTTTTTTTTTTTTTGAAAATGGCCAAATTCTAAATGGTGCAGGGTATTCAAAGCTCGGCCCGGCCGAACTTACAGCTTTTTTACTTGTTCCTATTTCGGAAACCTTGCAACTTCATAAATAATTCCTTGTGCTTCTTCACCAACAAAGTACTTTTCTTTAATCCAATTATTGGCAATTTTCCCAAAAAAAATCACTCCATGTGAACTTCCCTTCAAAC